TATATATATATATATATATATATATATATATATATATATATATATATGTGTGTGTGTGTGTGTGTGTATGCACGGGCTTCTGTCTGTTTTGGGCGACTCTCCTTAATGCAACCCCCCACTGTATACACAGCGCACAGCGCAGCGTAAATGCCTGTCAATAGACAGTTGACCCCATTGCAGAGGATAAACATCTGCAGGGAGACAGGCAAAATATAAAGACCCTAAACCCTAAACCCTAAACCCGAAACTCTGCCTCGACGCACAAAATCCGGCGGCAGCAACATGCTGCCCGAATGCAGCAGGCTGAATTCCGAATGCCCCTAAACCCTAAAGAAGCATGGAGCCTCCACTGTGAGGGTGGCTTTAACCTTGTCTCCCCTTGACCCCCGCCAGCGCAAGCAACGGAAGAAGAAGCGCGTGGCAGTCAACGCGGGTCATGTTTTGCTGCAACGATGAGCTGAGCCTGGGCTAGAGTTTAGCGTTTAGGGTTTAGAGCAAGCGCTTCAGGGTCTCCTTTTCCTCTGCGGGCTCCTCTCTACACTGTACACACGCTTCTGTAGTCTGCATGTTTTTCTGTGGGTCTGAAGCCAGCTGCACGTGCTAGCCTGCAGTGTACATGCATGCATCTTTGCGCTGCTTGCCCGAAGCAATTCTTATTACTCGCGTGCATCCCGTCAACGCCCGTGTCATATATATATATATATATATATATATATATATATATATATATATATATATATATATATATATATATATAAACACAGCCGGGCGCGAGAGGCAGAGACAAGCCAACATGTCCACCGTAGCACGTAGGCAACACAAAGCGGCTACATTTTGCTGCAGAAGCTGCAGCAGCTCTTGTTACTACTGCATCTGGACTGCATTCATGAGGTTATGTGTCAGCCTCAGAGAGGCGTCTGTTAATACCCAGGTGTACAACTGTAGCGCAACCTCTTTGGGTTTCAAGGAGCTCCCTGTACACCTCATTGGCTCGCACTGCATCTTGGCAGGGGATAAGGTACGTCTGCGGATGGGTGGTACCCGTTGTTGTTGCCGCTGCTGCAGTTGTAGGCTGTGAGCTGTATCTTCCTCCTGGGTCTCTTGCGAGTCTCCGTAGAGACGAGGCCCGCCCTAGAGCAGGGTCGTTGAGCTGCATCTCCTGCGGGCTAACCGTCAGCGTGACCCCTCTGCTGTCGGTCTTTACTTCTCGGATTGCTGCAACGCTGACATGCCACAATATCTGTACACTGCTGCTGCTGCCTCTTGCGCGCTGCTGCGTCTGAGACCCCTGCAGCGTAAGCTCCTTCTGCGTGTCTCCTCCTTTGATGCTGACCAGGAATATGTCCTGGGGATAAAACAAAACAGCTAACTGACACGGCTCCGGTGTCTCCTGTCGAAGGACCGTCATACACTTCTGCATCGGCCGCAGCACTGCAAGTCCCAAACTCTGCCGCAGCTGCGCCTCTGTCTCGTCATAAGGCCTGAAGCAGCAGCAGCAGCAGCAGACATGCAGCAGCAGTCCTGCATACAAGTGGCAAATGTTTCCCTACACTGCGACGCGCGCACGCTGCTACTGCAGCCACCTGGCGCAGCAAAAAAAAAACGGGAAAGCAGCACCATCAGTAGCCCCATGTAGCATTAGCAGCACTAGAATTCGCAGCAGCAAGCAGTTGGGACTATAATGTGTTGCATATTGTTTTATTGTGTATGTTTGTTTTCTTACCGGACTTCTCCTTGTTCGCCTATCATGCGCGGTTGCCTATGGCGCGTGCTGATGCGTTTGAGTGCACCGATGGGCTTAGTAACTTCAGCATGAATGCCGCGGGTGACATCGGATACAGCTTGTCCTACTCTATCAAGAGGTTTAACAAGAGACCCCATAAGCCCCTTTCCTATTCCCTTAAGGAAGCCGCCTACACCCTCCTTCTGCGCCCCTTCTATTGGCTTCGTTACTATACTAGAGAGGGCCCATACCCCCTCACCTATATTCTTACCCGCAGAGAGAAACCCCTCACGCATGCCTGAGGCCCCTCGGTCTCTCTCTCTGCGTCTTCTGTTAATATATTCTGAGTCGAATGTGAATGTAGATAATAAAGAACCAAGACCTGTGGAGACGCTGTCTACTGCATTCGCAGCCAAACCAATTGTATTACGGCCGAACTCATAGGGCATACGAGGCAGATTTAGCAAAGAAGACTGACCTAAAGAAGCAAATAAAGATGATAGTAAGTGATATGTATAACGCTCTTGTAAACAACTTATAAAGGATGCAACAGTACCCCGCAGATAACGGAACTCCTCCTGGCTGAATGTCAACCGCGCCCCCTTCATACACAAACAACAAACAACCAAAAACACACAGAAATACATAAACCAGCATAGGACTAAAACAATCAAAGCAAACAACAGAGTATAAACACAAAGCAAACAGAACAGGCAAGAGAAACAACGGCAAACTCAAACACGCACAAGCAAAAACAAAAAAAAAGAAACGAAACAACCAAGCAATGGAAAGGCAACAGCATATACACCACAAAACAGCGGCAGCAACTGCAACAGCACCAGCAGTTACTGAGTTAGCAGGAACTGGAACACCCAACGTTCCAACACAAGGAGCAGCACCAGCAACAGTCCTTGCGGAGACCGCAGCAACAGCAGCAGCAGCAACAGATGCAGCATCCAGGTGCACAAACAGCAGCCACAGCAAAGCTTGTTGCTGCTGCTGCTGCATCTCACGCACGGTGAGTTCAAGTCTCCCTGAAGCCATAAGTATCCTGAGTCCGAGTTTAAGGAGGTCTGATATCATATGCATCTTATCTAAGACAAAGGAGCACCAGCAGTAGACGCGGAAGCGAGATATAACAAGAGACTCTAGAGACAAAATAGTAGGAAGAGGAGGCGGCATATAATGCAAAGCAACTGGTTCATTCACCCAAACCCCAAACTCCTCCAGGGACACCGCCCGACGAGAGGCCGCGTCAGCCAAACGGAAGGCTATTAGACACGACCACACAAATTCCTGCGCATACACCGCAAACAACAGTCCAACAGCTGCAGCAGCTGCAACATCAGCAGCAGCTACTGCTGCAGCAGTAGCAGTGGCAGCGGCAGCAGCAGCAGGAGCAGCAGCAACAGGGGCAGCAGCAGGAGCAGCGGAGGGAGGAGTAGCATGAGCTGTCTTCGCTGCAGCAGCAGCAAGGACGCCCTTGAGAGGCTGCCACAGCGCAGCTGTGGATCTGGCGGCGTTCAGAGGTTGCCGCTCAGTGGGGCGTTGGCGTTGGTTGCATGCACACAGCGTATAGCATAGCATGTGGTGAGTAATGCACTTTCTTGTGTACAGTTCCGCATTATTTACACTGCTTTTTACTTTGGTTGTGCTGCATACGCAGACCCGTGCGTATTCGTGTGGATATACACCTCAAGCACAATGGAAGATGCTGCATCCAGAGGACATGGGCTTGGCGTGTCATAGACGGCATATATATATATATATATATATATATATATATATATATATATATATATATATATATATATATATATATATATCATCCGTATGCATATATATGCATACATATACAATATAAACAGCACGTAGAACATACAAATAAATTCAATTTATGCAATGTACGCAATAGATACAAGATAGATATATTATGAAACTATCCCCCTAATCCTTCTTAAGGTGTATTAATATTTCTTCTCTTCCCCTCAGATATATATATATATATATATATATATATATGCATATACTATATATTGTCGTTCTCATTAACCATGGTGTCTTGGACGCACATTGAGGCCGTTGAGCATATCAGCATCGATGTCGATCTCCAAGTCGTCCATCTCCACCAACGCCCTCTTCAACACCACGTCGCGGCTCCCCGAGTTCAGGCGGACTAAAAACACCGTAAGAAATGGGGGGCTACTACGAGGGGGGGCGCCGGGGGCCCCAGGGGCCCCCACCCAGCTCTGCAGCAACACCGCAGCGCACGCAGCGGCGCATAAAGCATCAAATAAGCATACATGCAACGACTCTTTCTCATCAAAGCAGACGAAGAAGATCATGATCTAATGCAGCACCTCAATGCATGCATGTGTGAGTAGCATTAATTGCTATAAGCTGGCGGATGGGCACACAGCTACTTGCAACTGCATATACACTACCATCCACAGGGACGTTCATGCAGACAATGCAGGCAACGCATGCAGCGCCCGCAATGCATGCAATCCGAGTCAAGACTCACACCCGCACACACAAGTGGTGGTGCCGTTGATACTGCGTATAGGCCGATTGACAGCGTTTTATATGCATCTACGCGCATACGGGTGTGGGTGGGGTGTGACCCCCACGCAACAGCAGATTACAACTCACCACTAAGTCAACTATTAAACAAATCACGAATAGAATAAATGGAACTAATTGTGTTCAGATGAAGTACATTGTCAGCATAGTAACTCTGGCTAGATAATGACAATAGAAAGAATCAAAAATAAAACCAATTACTGCAGCAATATACAGACCGTACATCTCAGCAGAGACTTTCTATACAACCAACCTATGCTCGCATTGTCGTTGTTTGGCTGTTGCGAGCTACTGCCTGTTAGCATACAGTGTTGAGGTGTATGTACAGCTGAACGCACAGCGCTCACCTTTGGCTCGTGGGTGGGGAGATCTTTGCCTCCTCTGTTGGCGAAGACAACGGGTTTATTTCCGTTTTCCATTTGGTTATCTACTTGTACTTTTTCAATTCTCACAACAATTTTTTCTCTGTCTCCCCTCTGCTGCAACCCCACAGCAACCTGAAACAAACTAGCGTAACACAACTCCTCTGCCAAATTGTCGCATATCAGCGACACCCCAATCTCTTGCAGCTTCACCGCCAAGTCGAAACTGGCAAACGAACACTCCATCTTCTGCAACACACATACACGCACGCACACACACACACACATGAACAAACAAACAAACACACACACACACACACACACACACACACACACACACACACACACACACACACACATCCACGCATTCCCCCGCCCGCATGCTGCCCATAAAGCATGTATGCACGCTTATTTTATTATACGCATACATGAATTAGCAGTCACCGCAATGCACTATCAGCCGCAGCAGCAGCGGCAGCAGCAGCAGCAGCAGCAGCAGCAGCTCTCCCCTTGCTCACCACGTCTTCCTGTGCGGCTTGTGTTTGCTGCTGTTGTTGTGCAAGGGTGAGTTGCTTGTTGAGTTTAACATCCTTAGAGAGAACAGCAATGACCGTATCATCGCCTATCTTCTCAGAGGTAACAATAATATCTGCTACACCCTCCATCCCCAGCAGCACTTCATACCGCTTGTGCTGCGGGTTCACCATATCAAACAAAATTGGCCGGCGGGGTGCAACCGTTTTGCTGTCCAGCCACAGCAGCACCTGACACTGCAACAATAACCACACATACCCCGCACCAAACACACACACGAACACACATACACACACGCACGCATATATATATATATATATATATATATATATATATATATATATATATATATATATATATATATATATGGGAATGCATGCATTCAACCCACACCCAAGCCCACACACAAACACCAACAAGCCCTATCCACATAAAAATACATGCATGCTTGCAGGCGAATGCGGAGACATGCAGGCGCCCCCCATCTTGGGGCTTCGCGCATCGTGCTGCTGCTGGTAACGTTCTTCTACTGCAGTTGCTGCGCGTTACAGTTGCGTGTTGCTAGTTAAAGGGTTTCTTTTCGGGGACTTTCTGCCGAGTTATTGTCGCTCGGTGTGTGTTGTTACTGGTGGGGTTGCTGTCCCCCAACAGCGTGCGAATGGGTTTGGTATGCGTCTATCTAGCAAAAACGCGTCGTTCCTGTGGGGCTTGTGCTGCTGCTGCGGTTGTTGTTTTCATGCTGATGATGTTGATACTGGTGAGGTTGTTGTTGCCAATGCTGGTGTTGTTGCTTCCGTCAGTGTTCGTGTTGTTGCTGCTAGTGGAATGCTTGCTGTTTGTGCTGGTGTTGTTGTTGCGTGTGTGGTTATTGCTGCTCGTGGTGGCGTGGTTTCTGTTGGTGGGCTTGTTGTTGCTGTTGCTGTTGCTGTTGCTGTTGGTGTTACTCACGGGCCTGGATTTGTATTGAAATGGGAATGGCCACCCATAGACGACTGACTGCCCCTCATGTGCAAAGAAATGGCAGTCAGCCTCAAGGGGTCTCCCTATCTGCCTGCTGCTGCTGCTGCTGCTGCTGCTGCTGTTCATCTCTGAATGGAACGTGTGCACCATCACCCGCTGCACAGTAGGGCAGCAGTTGCGGACTATGAACGCTCCCCCAGTATCTGGCCCCCGTATCGCCACGCTCTTTACCCCTCCCTCGGGGGCGATGTCTACGGCGTATACCTCTGTGAAGAGACAGACAGAAGAGGAGACAGCAGACAACAAAAACAAAAACAATACAGATAGACACCAGAGGAGACAGCAGACTACACAAAAGAATCTCTAGAGACCCCTTTCAAAGGAATTTAATTGAGACGTAGCACGCGGCCTTTGTTTTGGGTTGCGCTGTCGCAGAATCAGAAGCAGCAACAACAGCAGCAGCAGCAGCAGACAACTCTCTCCACGGGACACGGAGAGAGATCAAGCCAAAAGGGCTGAGAGCGAACTGAGAGACAAACACTTCTTTATCTCCTCAGGTTGGCTTTGTGCGCATTCGTCTCTGCTCCTTACAAAGTGACTGCGGGGGAAGAAGGGGGTGTTGTCCGGTCTTAGGCTTTTGTCTGTCCCGCTGTCTGTCTATATGTCTGCTTGTCTGTTTGTCTGTTTGTCTACCTGTCGCTCTGTATGTATGTTTGCCTATGCCTCTCTGGCTCTGGCTCTGTCTCTGTCTCTGTCTCTCTCATTTTCCCTCTCTCTCCCCCTCTCCTCCTCAGCGTCTGCCTCCTTCGCTGTCCCCTTCACTGTTTCCTCACCTGGTTGCGCACCCTTGGATCCGCTGGGGCTGACGGCCACCCAGGTCCTGCCTGCTGTCTCCTCGCTCGCTACAACGGGCCCTGACCACCCCCGTGTGTTGCTGCGCCCCACAAGGAACTGCAGCTGCTGCAGAAGATCCTGCTGCGGCCAGTACATCGCATGCGTCTCCCCAGGGTGCACTGCAGCACACCAACAAGTAGGGTAGCAGCAACAGCAGCAGCAGTTAAAGGTAAAACAACGCTACAGGCAGCCGAGAAAGAGAACAGCTGCACCAACAGGGTTTCGTCATCAACAGCAGCAAGAGCTGCAGCGACAACAGAAGAAGCTGCAACAACCCAACAAGCAGCAGCAACAGCAGCAACATCAACAGCAACGACAGCTCCAGCAGGAGCAGCACCCTGCTGTCCTCGAGCTGCCCCCTCTGCAAGTCCCATCACATGCAGTATCCGCCAGCAAACTGCAAGCGGCGCTGCGCCAGAAAGCTGCAGCACCATATAACGCTACAGCAGTGGCGCCACCACAGGCATCAGCAGCAACAAAAGCAGGGACAGCAGCAGCTCCTATGAGACCGCCGGCCGTCTGCTTCCTTCCTGCATCTCTGTCTCTCTGTCTATCTGCTTTTCTGTCTCCCCATATGGCTCCGTTGCCATGGGCTGCCTCTGGTGCCCGCACTGGTGCTAACCGACCGTTGCTGTGCTTGAACTGCCTACTTTATCTGCCTTTCTTTCGTTGCATTTCTTTAGCTGCCTTTCTTTAAGTGCAGTTTTTTAATTGCTGTTATTTAAATGCCATTCTCTAACTGCTTTTATCTAATCTCCGTCTTTCATTGTTTTCCTTAATTGCCCTTTTATAATTTCATTTCTTCACTTACCCTCAAACAGAGGCCCCTGCGTCTGGTCTTGTCGCAGGTATACTGGCTCCGTGAGACAATTCGTAAAGAGAAATTCCGGCACCAGAGACACCACGCGGCACAGCGCACCTGAAGAGACACCTCAAATGATACATAGGAAGCTGCTGCTGACACTGCTGTTGCTGCTGTTGCTGCTTCTGCTGCTGCAGGAATAAGCAAAATCCGATGTGCTGCTGTCAGAAAAAGCACTAGCAGGAGTGGCAGAGACCGAGTGCAGCAGGCAGGGGACTAGCAGAAGCTCAGAACCCCACACAATACACCGTAATGTGTAAGGGCCACGACACCCCAACCTCGATATCAGCACCAAGCAGTAAGAATACCAAAAGCCAAGCGCATGCAAAATACAGATGCATGCCAGAAAATACAGAAATATCGTATAAGGACGAGGAAGAAGAAAATACGCATCTTTAATAGCCGCTGTCTTGTGCTGCTGCGCTGACTGGCGAGGGAAGCCCAGACAAAAGACAGCAGGCCCGACACATGTGCTAGTAGAAAAAGGACAGAAGACAGGAGATAGTAAAAGGGAGGCATGAGACAGGGGACAGGAGGCAGCAGATAGGAGACAAGAAACAGGGGCTAGAAGACAGGAGGCATGCTTAAGTAGATGCGAACTCGCCTGCTGTGTGTGCGAGGGCGAGTTGGTCTGTCTTCAAGCAGAGCGTATACAGGCAGTTCGGGGCCCTGAGCTCTGCCTTGGTGAAGCTGTGGAGGGCAGGGACATCAGCGCAGCACTCCACCGGCGTTGAGCCGCGGGGAATCATGAACAAAGACAACTCCGGTGTCTGTACACCCAAGCACACACCAATCAAACGAACATGCAGAGCATTCTAGAAGAAGACCGATCGCGGTGGGGGGCCCCCACTGCCTGCCTCACGCTTGAGCCGAGTCTGCTAAGAGCGGGGTCCCCGTCCCCGCTGGCTCACTGCTGAGCACCGTAAGAAACGGTACCCCTTCTGGCCCTTCTTATTGAACCTCCTAAGAGCATACTACTGAGTCTACTAAGGGTGAGGGGGTCATTACTATTGTTCCTTTTGAGTCTACTAAGAGTGGCGGTGCCCATTATTATTTTTTTTATGTGTGCGGGGCCCCTTAGNTGTTCCTTTTGAGTCTACTAAGAGTGGCGGTGCCCATTATTATTTTTTTTATGTGTGCGGGGCCCCTTAGTATTTGTAGTATTGAGTCTCATAAGATTGGAGGACTGAGAGCTCACGGCTGAGTCTCCTAAGAGGGCGTAGCCGCCAAAGTCGGGGAAGTATCGACCCGAGTGTACGGGTTTGATGTTAAGACCAGTTCTGTCTATGAAGAGGCGGGGGGCGGAGACAACAGCAATCAGCTGCTTGGGGGAGACAATAGAAACGTAGGGGGACACTTCTGCTGCGTCATGCAGCACCTCCAGCTCTACAGGGGCCAACGATGCAGACGGTAGCAGCACACGAGACACCAGGCCCTCCTGCACACAGCACCCGCAGCCAACAGGAGACAAAGCTGCTTGAGACGCATCCAAATACACTGCAATCAACGAACAGCATAATTGCAGCAAACACCGTGAAGGGCAAGCGAAGAAAAAGATGCAGAAAGTTCAGAAGATGCAGCAGACGGAGAACACAGAAAGACAGCAAATGCACGAATCTGCCGCCCGACAAAGGTGCAGCAACGCTAGCAGCAGCATCAACAGCAGCAGCAACAACAATAACAACAAGAGCAACAACAACACCAAGAATCAGAACAAAACAATAACAGGAAGGGNAGCAGCAACAACAATAACAACAAGAGCAACAACAACACCAAGAATCAGAACAAAACAATAACAGGAAGGGCAGCGCCTGCAGCAGCAGCATTAGCAGAAGCAGCGTTCGCAACAACAGGAGGAGCCGGTTGACCTCTGTAGAGAGGAAGTTGCGGAGAGGCGGCGACCATCGGGCGTTTTCTAGGACTGCGAATCGAAGCCAAAGAGACAGCTGTCTGCTGGGTGGGATTTCATAAACATAAAATACAGATTGTCTCGTCAGCGTGCCCTCAAACACGGGTTGCTGCTGCAGCTGCTGCAGCCGCTGCAGCGCAGACGCAGCGGGAGGCCGCCTCAATGGGATCCCGGACATCGATGCAGCACCAGCAACTGCTGCTGCTGCTGCTGCTGCAGCAGGCAACATGCAGACATCTAACTCCGTCAGAGTTGCGTTCATCAGAGTTAACGCGGGGAACACCGTCAGCGTCCGCAGCAGCCGCTCCGCTGGCAGTGCTGTCTTGTGGTCTTCTTGCAGCAGATGGAAGAAGAGGCATTTTTCCTTCTTCAGCACCGNGCTGGCAGTGCTGTCTTGTGGTCTTCTTGCAGCAGATGGAAGAAGAGGCATTTTTCCTTCTTCAGCACCGCAGCAGCAGTCATCGCATCACCTACTCCAGCAGTACCTCCTCCTCTCCCTGCTGCTGCTGCTGCTGCTGATCCAGAAAGTTCCGCAGAGCTCCGCTCCTCAGGTGGCAAGTAAGCGCAGTGCATACACTGGCAGTCCGTCGCCCTGCTGCGGCTGTCTATGGGCTCTGACCAGCCGCTGTACGGCCCCATCTCGGGGGGCGATTGAGGACCCTTAGAAGACACACGCAACCAGCAGCGGCGGCAGCAGTAGCAGCAGCAGGGGTAGCAGCAACATATACTAGGCAGCTCCTTCAACCGCAAGGGAAGAGACAAATGCAAACAGTGGACTTATGGAGACACACAAAGACACACTGCAAACAGAGACCAGCATAAGCACAGGCATCCTTAGCACAAGCCGGAAGAAAGCACGCAACAATCGTACATTAGCTGCTGCCCGCACATACGCTCCTGCTGCAGCACGAGCTCTTGCATGCTCGCGAGCGCACTCATCCATGTATCAGCAGGGACAACAGCAGCAGCAGCACCGCCGTACCTGGCCTTCCTGCTGTTCCGTCATCTCAGCAGCAAATGCTGCAGGGCGGAAGCACACGAAGACCCAGCCAGTCCCCAAAATGGCGTCTTGTGGGACAGACATGAAATGCTGATTTGGTAGTAGGANACGAAGACCCAGCCAGTCCCCAAAATGGCGTCTTGTGGGACAGACATGAAATGCTGATTTGGTAGTAGGAAAGTATATGCGTAGCTGGTTTGTTGCTGTTGCTGCTGCTGCTGCTCTTGCGGCTGCTGGAAGGCTACCGGGGAGCGCCCCTGGGTGTTGATTCTGCGGAAGTGTGGGGATCCGAAGGCGCTGTTGCTGCTGCTTCTCCGGGGTTTGCTGCTGGCTGTGCGCTGCAGCTGCCAGAGGAGCTCCTGCTGCAACGCGTGCTCTTGCATGCGCTGCTGCTGCTGGCGTTCTTGTCTGTCTAGCATCCACTGTGGGATCGTCGCGAGTTGGGGATCGAGTAGGGTGGCCTCCTGAAAGGACTGTGGGGACCCTGGCTGCGCGTCAGGTTGCTCCTGCAGCACTTTGAGGGGTGCTGCAGTTGCTGCTGCAGCAGGCAGCAGCAACGGCCGCTTCCTGCTGTCAAGGAAGCAGACTTCTAATGGCAAGCCGCTGCGGTTGTGCAGCAGCACCGTGGATGTCAGCAGCAGCAGCTTGTAAGACGGGTGGGGGCTGAGCACCTGTGCCACCAACTCGCCGTTCCTTCTCTTATCTCCTCTGCCGGCTGTACTCGCGTGGGGATCCTTCCTTAGGTCCGCTGCAGNTAGAGAGAGGCGCATGCGCATGCACTTAAAAGGCACGCAGCCGCAGATACCTACTGCGACGTACTACTAGGTACTCTGCAGCAGCAGCACCAACTGCAGCAACTCCAGCAGCAGCAGCTGAGTGCAGCAGCAGCTAAATGCAGCAGCAGCTAAATGCAACAGCAGCTAAGCGCAGCAGCAACTAACGAATGCAGCAGAAACTAGTGAATGCAGCAACGCAGCGCTAGGCTAACAGATACCTCTTGAGGCCTGCAATCCCCCCTTTCCCGTTCATTTGTCTCTGTCTTCTTTTCCCCCAACGTGTCACCTATGTATATCACTTACCGAGGACGGCTGACGGGGACCCTTGAGTCCCTGGAGACCACTGTTGCACCTGTTGCTGCCTCACAGGGGAGGCCAGGGTGCGTGTGCCCGAGGGGCTGTTCTCAGCCTGCTGCGTATCTCCACCTCCCACCGCATGCGCAGCAGCCAACTTGCTTCTGCTCCTCGTCTCCTCCAGCGAGCTCACTGCCCGCGCAGTTCGCTGCTNGCTGCTCTCGCTGCGGTTGCTGCTGTTGCTGCTGCGGCGGCGGCACTTCTTGCTCCTCCTGGGTACACTGAGGCAGCAGCAAAGAGACGCTGTGGCTTTTCATCGCCTCAACTAGCACAGCCTGCATTCCCTGTGGAAAAGGCCCAATGCAGCGGCTTATAAGTCGCTGCTGCTGCTGCTCCTTCGCCGCAGTAGCAGCGTCAGCAGGGATTATGTGGTCTGCATCGAGAAACTCGCCGATCGTCCGCTGAGCATCTCGGGTGAGAAGGAGGCTGCGGAGGATTTCAGCTCGTGGTACATTGGGCAGTACTTCTGCTGCTTGCTGCACTGCAGCAACTGGGACGCAAGCAGCGAAGAAAACGCGCTGTCTCCTTTCAGCTGTCCTCGAAGACTCTGCTGTCTGGCCTTCCATTAGGGCTTCCAGTGGGAGAGAAGTAGAGCCCCCAACTTGCAGCACCATCACGGCCCCAGTGGTTTCGTTCTCCTCAGTCTCCCCCGCTTCTTCCCGTTGCTGCTGATGCTGCTGCTCCGAGTGCTGTTGCTGCTGCGGCTGCGGCTGATGCTGGGACTGCTGCTTGTGCTGCTGCTTCTGTTGCTGCAGCTGCTGCTGCGGCTGTTGTTGCTGCTGTGGCTGCTGTGGCTGCTCGGAAACAAGCGTAAACGCATACAGAAACTCTCCAGTTAGGTTGAGGTAGCGGAAGGGGGCCCCGCTAACCTGTTGCTGCTGCGCCGCAGCAACAGCTGCAGCAGCATCCGCAGCGTATCCCCTTGCTGCAGCAGCAACAGCAGATTTGGAGAGCGGCGAAGGTGCTACGGCAGCTGCTTGTCTGCCTTTCTTCGCAGCATCTGATTCTCCAGGCCCCTCAGCAGCAGCAAGGCTCGCGGTGCGCGAGGGAGCGGAGGAGACTGTCCCCTTTGAGGGCCCCTGCTGCAGATGCTGCAGTAAGTAGGGAACAAACCAAGACAGTAGCCGACAGAGCTGAGGAGTGAAATTCAACAAAAACGGAGAATAACTGCTGATAAGCAGCGCCCGGGCTGCCTTAGAGTTCGTCCACTGATCTGGAGCAGCAGCGGCAGCTGCTGCTGCTGCTGCGCTGCCACCGCCCCCGCTGCTGCTGCTACTGCTGCCGCTGCTGTTGCCTGTCAAACGTTGCTGCTGCTGCAGCTGCAACTTGTGTTCGAGGATGAGGTCGCGTCTGTACACCAGAGTCAGCACCATCTGCTCAATAAACGGCTCCCACGTGCCGCTCTTCACGTTAAGGAAGCTGCAGCCGCAGCGCATGTCTGTTAGAGACAACACGAGATGCTGTCCATACACTCGGCCCCTCACCTGCCCCACAGAAACCTGCATCTGTAGCAGGGGAACAACTGACGCACGCAAATCATCAAGCAGCAGCAAATCCACACCCGCTAGCTGCACAGAGACACGAACGTCCTGCTTAACCGCTACTTCAGTCGCCTGCCCCTCCTGCTCCTGCTCTTCCTGTTGCTGCTGATCGTGTGCAGGGCTCCCATGTTCTTGTTGCTGGGGGGCGGGAGTAGTCGGGCTCTGCGCTTCTGTTGCTGCTGCTGTGGGGCCGTCGGAGCTCAGGCCTCGCGCAGCATTCAGCAGCAAAGCGATGTCATTGCTGCTGACGCGCAGGAAGAACTCTGCACCCACAAGCAGACAATGCATGCATCTGCAGCCTAGCTAAGTCACATGTGGATATATCAGTGCCACAACACCTGTGACCGGTGCTGCTGCTGCTGCTGCAGCACGCATTGCTGCTCCGGCAGCTAAATGTTCTACTACTGCTGAGCAAACCCGTCCGACTGAAACGTGGCTTCATATATTCATGCCTAGTAGACAGCTGGGCTCTAAAGGCAGTTCCGCTGCAGCTGTTGACCTCCCACTAGCAGCTGCTGCTGCTGCAGCATGTGCAACTGTAGACGCGAGAAGGCGCCGCAGCAGCTAAACGAGGAGCAGTTATAGATGGAGGCAGAGAGAGAAAGAACAGTGTTACGACACGGAGAAAGGAAAACGCATTGATAACAGTGGAACCAAACATGATGCAGGAAACGAAACAAAGAGACGAAAAGAGGAACGGAAACGCGGATACACCCAGTGCGGAGATGTTTGCAAGAGGAACAGGGAGAAGGCCCAAAGAGAGGGAGGAGGCAGACAAAAAAAGATAAAAGGTGACAACCCTACTCACTTGGCACAATCAGTTGCATTCGAACTTTCGTCGTCAATCTGTTCATCTTCTGTGGTCTTCGGATTCCACCCGAGGCCTCCATTGAGCTGCTGAGGGCCTTCGGCTGCTTGGTAGTGAGTGCTCGCGGGGCGTCAGCTGCAGCAGCTGCTGCAGCAGCGGTTGCTGCAGCAGCAGCTCCAGCGAAGGCCCGCTGCACAGCCGCCATTCTTGATTCTCCTGTTATGGGTGCTGACGAGGTGGGTGTTTCTACGTCTGTTCCCTCATTTTCACTCTCCATTTCTTCCTCTTCTGTTTCAACTTGCTGCTGCTGCTGCAGCTCCTGATCTGTTGCTGCAGCAAGGAAGATGCCCTTCCCCTGCACTGACAAGTCCTCGCACAGCAGCACCGCCCCTTCTGTCAGCATAGAGGGAATGAGGCGGCTGGGCTCGGGCCACTCCCCGACAAGCAGACTCTCTCCCCCGTACTTATCATCCTCCTGCTGCTGGTGTTGCGGCAGCGCCAGCCGTTGCTCACGCTGCTGCTCAAGTTCTACCTGTTGCTGTTTGTTGCTGCCTGCGACGGAGAGGTGTGCGTCTTTGGGGCGGAGCTGGATGCCCCCTTCTGCGGCTCTTTGGTGCCCCAGCATTGCCAAGGAGGCCCGCAAGTAGTTGGAAGACATGCTTCTGCTGCGGCTGCTGCTGCTGGTGGCAGCAAGTTCGCCTTCGCTAGGGGCTGCCTCGAGACGTGACACTTTGCTGTGCTGTATCTCGAGCCTCTGAAGACTCATAACGACCCCCTCAGAGAGAAGAGAGACGATCACGTCTCCACTCCACACTATCAGCGGTGCCGTGGGGCTCCCGATATCCGTGTACACCACAAACTGCCCGTTACAGATGCGGACGCTTATCGTTGTGCTGTTTCTACTGCTTCTGCTGTCACTACTAGTGCTGCTGCTTTTGCGCTCGTATGCCTGCAACTCTGTACGGAGGGTTCCTGCAACTCCCCTCCCTTCAAAGGCCTTCGAAACTGTACGGGGTACTGAGGGCGAGTCGCGGCGGGGGCTGGTTTGCGGCTGCTGCTGCTGCTGCTGCTGCTGCTGCTGCTCGTTCACAACTGGCTGCGGCTTGGGAAACAGCTTCATGGTACTGCACGCGTAGGCGGTGGAGAAATATTTGCCTAAGTCCCCGAAGCCGACGACAAGGGTATACAGAGTCACATCCCTCAGCACCACCTCCACAGCTCCCCTCTCGGCTCCCGTTTCAAGGTGCATAGACACCGCAGGGAGGCAATCAACGTCTTCTTCTACCTCACCCTTGCTGCAGTACTCAGCGTCTCCCGCCTCGCCTCCTTCCCCAGCGCCCTCGGATCCTACGATTCCCCCTGGTGAGCCCCCTTGAGGCCCTCCATGGTGTTCCCCTAGGGGCCCCTCCAGGGGCCCCCCTGTGCAGTGGGCGAGTCTGCGGTAGTAGTTAGAAGTCTGGGGTCTGATGTCGTCTACTGCGAAGACATCTCCTGTGACGTTCAGCTGGAGTTGCGTTCCTGTTTGAGTTGAAGTAGAGGCGGAGGCGAAGACAGCAATGCGGTGTACAGTCATCAACGCGAGGGGAGCGTGAGGCCCCATAGACGTCTCGAGCAGAAGCTTGGGAATGCACAGATGCAAGTCAAGACACAGAGGCAGCTGCAGGTCAGCCTGCTTTAGGGGCATCTGTAGCGGGCTGTCCCCACTCTCAGTCGGACCTCCCTGTCCCGTGTCTCCCCTGCTGTTACTACTGCTGCTACAGTGTCCCTCAGCAGCAGCAACAGCAGCAACAGCAGGCTGCGAGTCTGTGTACCCAGACCCCGTGAGGTTCTCATTCAGCACGTCCAGGCAGAGAGTAAGCTGCTCCCTGGAGAGATGCAACAGCCAGGGGGATGTTTCGGCAGCCACTGAGATGCGGCCTGAAGACTGCAGCCTCACCCCTACGCTGGCTGTCTCTAAAAGCTTCCCCTCTACAGAGGCCCTCTCCTCACGGACTCGAGGGCCTTCCACAGAACTCTCCTCACCGTCTCGTGCACCCAGCTGCATTCCCGAGAAATCCAGCTTTAAGTCAAAGGCCCAGTCCTCCACTTTTCCCGCTCCTTCTGCTGCTGCTTCTGAGGTTCCCCCTGGCTCGGCGGCTGTTCTGCATCCGCCTGAAGACCCCTGCTGGGCAGCCGGTGGTGAGTAGTGGCTCGTTGACCCCAGACCTACTGGGCACCCGTGGACGGCCCCCCCGGATCTCTCTCTGTTGGAGAGCTGCTCCAGAGTTTTCTGCTGCAGGGAGACAGACGATAGGGGAGTGTAGGCGTTGCTGACCCGCAAAATGCCTGCACTGAACACGAGAAAACGTCCGAGACCTTTCAACTCCACTTTGCCTGAAGCGCCAGCCAAGGCAACGGACTCTGCTTCGCTGTCGGGACGAGGAGAGAGCGGCTGCTGGATCTGCTGCCGCTGCTCCTGCTGTTTTTGCTGCCCTTGCTGCTGTCGTCGCAGCTGCTGCTGCAGCGCTGGAATTGCGGCTTTGTTTTCCGGAACAATGAAGAGGGGGCAGTCAATGTGAAGTGCGAAGAGAGAACGCGAGCCCGTAGCTGCCTGTTTCACTGCCTCGTATGACTTAGAAATAAACAAATCGAAAATTCCATCTCTGAGGTAATCTAGAAATGCCTGAATGTCCTGGTGTATGTACACCAGACACAACTGACTCACTCGACCCGACACACAAACTGAAAACGGAAGAGGACGGCCCGTCCCAGGTTCTCCCCCCCCATACTGTCGTATTTTGAGTGAAGCTAGCATTGGCTCCCGCTGCTGCTCCTCGTGCTGCTGCTGCTGTTCTTGCTGCAGTTGCGGTTGTTGCTGCTGGTTCTCCTGCAGCTGCTGTTGCTGGTAGGTTTCTCTGGGCGCTAAGACGCAGCGGTCGTTGAGGATGACTGCTGCGTGTCGGATAGTAAGAAATGTCTGCGCATCTCCATTGGGGTAAGATGCCAGGGAGACGCAGACATCTCTCACCCCCACTCTACAATAGACAGAGCGGCCCTCCCAGAACGACACTGCGGCTCCTTGAACGGTCAAATCCACAGAAACTGACACAGGCAGATGGCCCTTCTTCCCGTTGCTCCCGCTGCTGCTACTGCTGCTGGACGCGGGACTCAGCGGCTGCTGTTGCTCCACGCTGCCGTCTCCAAAGGCAGCCAAAGGAGGCATGTCTCCTCCCACATCCAAGCCCGCACGCATCCAACGGTTTCCACTGTTGGCGCCATCATTCGCGCTGTTGCTCTCGCTGCTGCTGCTGCTGCTGCTGCTGCTACTGCTGCTGCTGCTACTGCTGCTGGTAAGGGAAGAGAGCACGGAAGCAAAGTTGGCCTCTGGCTTGGCATCTCCTACGTTGAGGGAGCACTGCATTGCTTGGAGGGCATCCTGGAGAGCAGTAAAAGCAGATTCGGAGAGGAAGGGGGGTCGGGTGAAGGTGGCTGCTGCAGTAGCCAGCTGGTGGTCCAACTGCTGCCTGTACACCTGGACTGTCTGTAGAACGCGGCGAAGAGACTCCTGTCTCCAGTGCACCTCTGCGGGGAGAACAACCAGCGATACGACGGTTTCTGGGTCTCCTCCTCTCGCGTAGCGTAGAGATAGTCGGAGGCTGCGGGCTCCTGCAGTGTCCCCTTTGCGGCTGTCTCCGGTATCGTCTTCGCAGCCGTCTCCCGGTTCTTCTAAGGCATCCTCAAAGGAATCCAGCTGCTGCGTCAGCGTCTCTGCATGCGAAATAGCGCTCTTATAATGTTCAAGAGAAGCAGAGGGTTGAGGAGAGACAGGAGAAGTGCAGGCCGCCTGCTAGCAGCAAAGACGGCACGCAGCAACACACACACGACGGTTGCCCTCCATCAACCAGAAGCAACAACATACTACCCCGGGAAAAACACGCGTTCTACATATAGCTTAGCTAGGCGCGCGCTGCAGATTTCTTGACCAGACAATGCAGCTCTAGTCTCAGGGTTTACTGCGTGTGTTTCGGGCCTAGGGTTTAGGGTCTAGGGCTTAGGGCTTAAGCGCAGCAAGTGGCGTAGGAGCACCTGTTTGTTAAGGGACTGGAAGAGAAGAGATTCCGTTGATGGATCCGAGATAAAGACATCGCGAAGGGCTGCAGAGACAGTGCAGGAGCCCACACCAGTGTCCGCCCCCACTGTAACCTCTAAAGCAGACAGCTGCGCTCTCAGCACCCCTTTCTCTTCCGTGCTGCTGCTGCTGTGTACGATAAAGCCGCAACGGCTGAAGCGCCAAGTCGACGCTATCACGAAGCCCCCGTCTTCTTTGCTGCTGCTGTTGCTGCTGCTATCTCCGGGCTCCTGGGTGGTTCGCAGCGCCGCGGGGATTCCCTTGAGCGTCTCCAGGGCCGATACCGCTGCACCTCCGGCCCGCGTTTCCGGGTGTTGGGTTGCTTGCCCATGTGTATCCGTAGGAGCATGCGCTGCAGCAGCTGCTGGCCATGCTGCACGAGATGCAGCAGCAGCAGCAGCAGCTGCAGCACCAGGTGGCAGGGCTGGCTGTGCCACAGACTTCGCGAGGGAAACAGGGACTGCAAGGAGTAGGGCCACTGCCTCTGGCGTTGCCTCGAGGAATATATCATCAAACTCCATATCTAAAGTTATGTTCTTTGCTGCCTCAACTTGCAGATGCACACGAATGGGGATAGGCCGCAGGAGAGACACCTCCCTGCCCCCCTTGGGAGAGCAAAGGAGACGAGTCTCGTTCAGCTCGAGCACTGCCTGCAGCGCCTCGTACGGACAAGGCCCCTCTGTCTTCAAGCTCAGCCGCCCGAGGTGTACAGAGACACTGCCTGCCGCGAGAGAGTCCAGGTGGAAGATAGGCGCCGCAATGTTTAGCTCCAGCTGCAGCAACCCCGGCAGCCGATGCACTGCAGCAGCGTACACAGTTTCTCCCTTTTCACGCAAACCCTCCACCAGCTCTCGCGCATGCATCGCTCCCAGGTCCCGCTGCAGCTGCTGGGGGTCTTCTTCACCTGGCGCTGCTGCACCTGGGTCTCCGGCTACTGGGTCGTTTTCTGCAGCACCTCCACGCGACTTCTCCTGGGTGGAGGTAACAGAGCTTGTGCTCTGCATTCTCCTGACATCTTCAGGAGTCTCGAAGACGAAGAAGGCAAAGATCGTCTGTAGAATGTCGGGTCGCACGGAGGCCACAAGGGGCGCCAAGTGCGCAGACACCCCAAGGATGTTGCCTCGCGGGGTCAGCTGGTGCTGCAGCAGGAACTGAGCTGCTGCAAGAGAAGTCGGGGCCGCACGAAATATAGCAGATGGCAGATGGATGAGCTTCCCTGTGTCCCCAAACAGGCCCACGTGGGTCCTACCGAAGCCGCTGCTGCCGCTGCTGCTACTGCTGCTGCTGCTACTGCTGCTGGTATCTGCTTCGCTGCGAAAGTGCATGAGCGTGTGGTGCTTCTGGCGCACTGTGAAGTCTGCGAGGGAAAAAGAAAAGGCCCACTCCGCGTTATCTTCTCCTGAATAGTCCTGGCGGTTGCAGCAGTCTAAGGAGGCGCGCAAGCCGCTAAGAGACAGCGACAAAAAAGAGAGCTCCTCCTCCCCTGGTTCTTTTCCTGCTGCTACTGCTGCTCCTGCTCCTCCTGCTTCTCCTGCTGCTGCTGCTGCCCCTCCTCGGCCTCCTTCAGCAGGCAAACCTGGAGGGAGCCGCACGGCCCCGTCATGTGGGGGCAATGGAAAGTCCTCTGGGAGGTCAGGGGGTCCATCCCGCGGCATCTCTGACTCCTCCTCTTCCTCTTCATAGCCTCCTTGCCCTTCCTCACAATCGTCCTCAAGGGACACCCGAAACTGCAGTAAGTCGAAACTCAAGTGGTACCTCGACGGCAGTCCCATTCCTTGCAACGTTTCGTCTTTCTGAAGACATAACAGCAACAAACCGAATCCCCCACCCTAAACCCTAAGCCTAAACCCTGCCCTTGAGGCAGCATTTTGTCTATCTCGTCTGCATCTCTATCTATCAGTATCTCCTCTCGGACTCCGTTTGTTTTTTGGTGTCTAGTTTATATCTATTTCGTGTGTGTCTCCCTTCTCTGTCTCTACACGTCTGCCCCATTCGCCGGCCTCCACACAGGGAGCCTCGCCTGCACTGAGTCCATGATGAGCTGTATGTCTTCTTGAGTTATCAAAGGAGACTCGTCTTCCCCCTGCTGCTGCTGGTGCAGGCCGGTCCTCGTAGCCCACTGCCACCAGCTTCTTGGCGGAGGTTTGGGCAGTCTCTGCTGCTGCACTTTTTGCGTCTCTGCCATCACGCGATTTGTTGCTTCCTTGCAGATGCTCCTCCACTTGGCCAGCTGTACACACCAATCCAGTACAAACGATAAACCCTAAACCATACCGTCGACGACATCTACGCGGTTGGTGTGTCTGCCTCCCCTCTGCAACAGTATGTTTTTGTAGTCCCAGGTTTCCCTTCTTGTTGTTGTGCTACGTATGCGTGGTTTTGTGGTGCTAAGGCCCTTGAGGGCCGTGCAGGCCGAACGTTGCCTTCTAATGACTATTATGCTAATTAAGGGACTAGGGTTTAGGGCTTGATTTACATGGCGAACGCCCACAACGTCATACAACACCCGTAGACGCCTCTCCTCTGCCTCAGTGAGAGGCTGCACGCCCTTGATCCCCTCCTCAGCCTGCAGCTGCCGTCCGTACAGCGCAGTGAATTCCCTTTGCGTTTGTCCGTTTACCTCCAAATCCTCAGGGGCTAAGGCCACGGTGTGCGCCTCCCGCAGCAGCAGCCGCTCGCAGCGCTTCCGCCTCTCCCCAGCCTCATGCAGCAGCTGCAGCAGCACTGCGAGCTGAGACTTTCCTATAGCTGCTCCATGGCTCCCCTGCAGCACTTCCAGCCTCGCCGAAAACTCCTGGTGGGCTGCTGCATGCGCAATGCTCAGCCTCACATGAAGAGGCTTCAAGATGTACCTGCTGCGCCCTCTTCGGACCCTTGGTGACCTGCCCCCTGCTGCTGCTTCTCCTACTGCTGGTGCTGGTCGAGCTGCTGCTGCACGCGCCCCTGCCTGCGTGGGGGCAGAAACAGCAGCAGATCCCTTCCGCTCCCACCTGCGGCTCGCTTCCCTCGAAGGGGCCGCTGAAGCAACGGGGCTTTCTAAGGGGAAGTTGCCAGGGTACACCGCCTTCGCTGTGTCTTCTTCTCCTCCATGCTGGTCCTGCAGCACATCCCAACACGCGTGCAGCTGCACGTCAGCACATGCAGGCAGCCAGTGATCGCATGCAACATAGAACTAGCCAGCAAGAAGGGACGGCTCGCCAGCAATCTAGCTGGCCAGCTACCTAGCTGCCCAGCTCCACATGCATCGGTGGAGGGCGCCCAAGGGAGCAGTAGCTGTAGGGAATGGGTAATTGTAGGTTGTTGAATACAGCAAAAAAAACAAGTAAATCCCCCACAATGCTGGTGAGGCAAATAAAGTATTATACCTGGGGTGCTGAGGTGGCTTGTGAAGGGGCCTGGAGCTCCTCATCGTGCAGTTCGGTGTTAACAGCGAGCTCCCTTTCTGGCGGCGCGACCGCCTCTCCGCCTGCTCTTGAAGAGGCCCCAGGGGAGACTCCTGTCTGCGCATCTGCTTCACCACTCTCCCTTGAAGAGGTCCCAGGGGAGGCCCCTACCTGTGGCCCTTCTGAGAAGTCCGGAGCGCTGCCTAGTTGCAGCTCCGCGTCCACCTCCGGTTCCTCCTCCAGCAACAACTCTGGCATGTCTGCTGTTTCTGCTGCAGCGCTGCTGCTGCCCCCGCTGCTGTCCAGTGCGCAGTAGGCCGCGAGGCCAGTCAGCTCACACGTCTTGTAGAAGTCCTGCTGCTGCTGCTGCTGCTCGTCACGTTTCGTCCGGGTAGAGTCGGTACTGTGTAAAGAGAGGCGCTCCAGGAGAACGCCCGCCCGAAAGCCCCTTTGTCGGTCTATTAAGGCAACATGAATGCCCTTAATGCTAACTTGCAAGGTGCTAAGAATCTTATTGGCCAGACGGAAGAAGAAGCCGCCTTCGGCGTCCTTCCCTGCCTGCTGCTGCAGCTGCTGCTGTATCTGTTGCTGCAGCTGCTGCCGCACCTCCAGTAACTGCACTTCGCAAGCCTCCACCTGCTGCATCTTGACGCTGCGGAGTTTTTGCTGGAGCTCCGCATCTGCCAGCTGCGGTATGGGTTTTGGCTCGAGCAGCAAATATACATCCTGAATGTCCACACTAACGGGAGACGATCCCAGACTGGCCCAGGGGATCTTTAGAGTTATCTTTCCTATGCGGCCCCAGACGACCTTGAATGGAATTCCTAACAAGTCTGAAACCTCAGGCTTTACGTGCAACTCTGACAGCGCAACATTGCCGCTCCACACTGCCACCGACAGCTTCTCCTTGCTGATGCCCAACACGTACGGCGCCAGGTAGCGGCTGAGCAGCCGCTCAACAACAGACTCCAGCATCGTATCCTGTTGCTATTTAATTACACCCCAGCCCTCGGGTATGGGAGCTGTTCTCAACTGCTGCTCCCCCAGAAACCTGCCCGTCGCCCAACACTCCCCCCTCGGGAGAGGGTGGGAGTTTCCAAACGCTGAGACAGCAGTGTACAGACAGACCGTCACCCGCGTGAGTAGCAAAAGGTCCAGAAGAACGGGAGTCGTGCGCAGAGCAAGCGGCGGAGCATGCGACGGTGTCTGTATAGTGCGGCTCGACCTGCTGGCACAGGACAGATGACCGCCGTGTCCGCCTTGAAGTTATTTAGTTGCTGCGAAGCACCTCTTCTGTCTACGCGAGTCGTTAGACAGAGTAAAAGTGAACAACTCTACACAGAACGCGCAAATAGGGTGGATGAGTCTCCCGCGATCGGCTTCCCGCAGCAGCCCTCGACCAGTACAGTGATTTGGCCAAGGGTTAGACGATGAGAATTAGTATCAAAGGTCATAGCTGCTCTGCGTGTGGTATGAAGAGAGTAATACAACTCATAAAGAAAAATAATATAACTGTTCGAACCTACTAAATCTGCCAGCGACAACGGTACATATCGGAGGAGCCGCTGGGCAAAACACACCCCTCAAACGCGGCTTGCGGTCTAACTTTTTTCATGGATTACTGCGCAATTTGCCTAGTTAAGGTCTATAATATGTTCATTCAAGGCATTTGGACGATCCCTAGCCTCAGTTTCATCAATTGCTGGGGTAAACGCCCAGCATGCGCAGCGCAGCCGCAACAGAGCCAATGGGTTTGCAGACCACTGCCGCTACACCGACGGCCAACAGGTGTGCAACATGCATTATACACCTTTGAATCTGTTTGAAGGTGCATTTTTAGTAGGAGGAAAGTTGCATAGTCTCCACTGAAGACCCATATCGTATTAACGGTCAGAGCACAGACAAGCCCCCAANCCCAACCCCAGCCGTACAAGTGTGGATGTTTATGACCCGCAACGCGCGGTCACGCGCAAAGCCCAAGGAATAAATTGGAGGCTTAGGTGATTGCACAACTGAGATGATAGCCTCTGTATGTTGTTGGGGCGGAAGTGGGCGCTTAAGTGCGACGAACAGAAGTGTGCATGAGGTACTCGACCTAAACCAGAAACCGTTGTGATTTGCAGTAGAGGCAGGGCATATAAGGGTTCCACCAGAGCATTCGACTTATCCTCCAGTCATCGGGCAAAGTGACACTACAGTCTGGGGCTGGGGTGGAGAGAGCCTAGCATGCTCTCTATGACGTTGGTGCGTGTATTTCTACTTGCGCGCAAGTTGCATATTGAGGTACGGTGTTAGTGCATGTAGAAGGGAAAACGTTGCTGTACCTGCATGCGGCGTTGCCTTGCAGCACTAGTTGCAGCAAGGTCCATTGCAGCCCGTCACATCGTGTAACGCTTGCTCTCAGGCCTTGATCAAGGACAGAAGCGAGCTGCAATGTAGCGAAAGACTTAAAGAAAGATTTTGCCAAAATCAGTCGATCTCTTCCGTTGCCCTTATGTCACCTAGACGTTGAGCTCAGGGCCTGGCTGTTGCGGGGAGGAGGCAGCCTGAAGTGGAGATGCGGCAGCGCACGTCGCTGCGGCTGGTAATACAACCCACCCTCGCGCGTGCAGAGAAGGATGCTTCAGCGAAGCTTTCTTTGCTGCATGCCTTACCTCTGACTACCTTATAGAACATTTGCACTTCCTTACATGCTACCTACCAAGGTCAAGTGAAGGCTCCGGTGCTAACCGTAGGCAGACTATGCTACAGCTGCCCCCGCATCCGAAGAAAAGCACACGTCCGCGTGTGCAAATGTGCCGACTCAAGGGAAGATAGTAGGTTTGGGCAATCGTCTGCAGTTGCCGGTGATGCTGTCGAGGTTGCTGCTGCTATGCCTCCCCCTATCCCTTTTCCTGCGTGTGCTGCTCCCGCGAGGAAATACTGGAGCTTGGTCATAGAAATCGATAAAGAATGGAAGATAATAGGCCGAGAAGGCCCAGTCAGCAGCCTGTAGGAGGACTCCCCCAACTGCTGTTGCTGTGGCAGGCACTGTCAGCCCTGCTGCGGCGGAAGCGGCAGCGGCAATCACCGCGTCGCTTTCGTGCCGCTTCCACTGGTGAAGGCAGGTTAATATAATAGTAGAACATAAAGGAAACCCGAAAGAACGGGAGAACCGCAGCTCCTCCAGGGGTGCTAGCAGTGGGGGCCTGGGGCTGAGGGCAAGGCAGCGGAAGGGTAGCGCACTGAGGAGACGGGGGAGAGCACAGCGGGGGCCTCTGTAGTGGTAAACTTAATCTTAAGGATGGTAGTGGGAGTAGTGCTGTTGGGCTTCTTCTTTAGCAGTTCACTGTAGTGCGACGAAATAAATAGACACTGAGGGGTGCATCCTATGCCACCAGAAGGAACAGGCAACACGCTCCACCGTTGTATTGACCCCACCATGACCAGCTAACGCATGATCATTCATTTTGCTCGAAAGTCCCGTGCAAAGCAAATTTGGAACGTACACTCGGACTCCGCGCTTCATTTGGTACCACAGGAAGTCGCCATCGATACTATAGTGATTGACCCGTGCCCCTCGTTGAGCTTAGCTAAGACCGCAGCGGCGTGAGTATATAAGGAACAAGAATAACGCAATTTGGAGACAAAACGAGAATCATCTCAGCGCAGTCGCCGAACATTATGCCGGACCTGTAGGGCGTCTGGAGAGTACATCAGAGAACACGTCGGTGATTCGCTTGATCTACTTGACGGTGAAGTCATGCTGCGTGAGCCGCGAGAGCCACCGGGCAATTCTTTCAGTATCGTATCCTTGGAATAAGAATAAGACGGTGTCTCAGGGATTGATAATCGTTATTGACAGTAAAATGTCAACCACATAGGCAACACCGAGAATTTTTACACCCTGCCAGAGAGCAGAGAGCTCCTCGTGTACCGGCTACTTCTGTTCCCCCTCCGTGAAACGTCCGGAGTAGCAAGCAACTATTTGTTGCTTCCTCGTGCAGTTACCCTGCCGGGAGAACATTACCCATACTCCTGCTTGTGTCGGTCTTGAGGTAATATGACTTATCAAAATCAGGGAGCGCGAGTAATGGGGATGATGTCAGGCGTCAGGTGTCTGGCGGCTTCATCTTCACTCTCTGTCCAAATGATCTACTTGCCCTTCTTAGGATCAGTTAGAGGGACAGCAGTGCTAGCGCATCTAGGAATGAAATTGCGGTAGCATGAGGCGAGGCCGAGGAACTTATTAACCTCTGTCGGCGTGTAGAACAGTAGCGGCCACCTCTGAATCGCCTCAGTCCTTTCTGGATCTGCTTCATCCCCCTTTTCAGAGACACAAAAACCTAATTAACTGATTGTTTGCATGAAAAGAGAACACTTTTGCAGTTTGACGAGCTACTGCTTCTCACCTAGTAGTTTCAGGGCCCGCCGGCGGTGCAGCAAGTGTTTCTGCACATTTCGCCTGAAGAGCAGCACTGCATCCAGGTATGTTACCATCCATTCCTCAGTGATTAGCTTCGAGAAGTGGTGAATGACCTGGCGCTGCAGTTTAGCTGCTGCATTCACGAGGTCAAAGGGAATACAAGCGAACTCCAGCTTGTGAGTGCTGGTGTGGGGCGCCGTTTTGTGCCTGTCCTCCGGATGAGCTGGGATCTGCAAAAATGCCTCAGGGAAGTCAAATGCTGAGTATACCCCTAATCCCTGTAAGCATTCGAGGATTTTGTCTATTCTCGGTGTCGGAAACATCTGTTTCACTGTGATTTTGTTGAGGGGCTTGAAGTCGAAACACGTGCGCCACCTGCCATCCTTTTTCTTTGCAAACACGGGATTGTCTCCAAAGGCGCTAGTTCACTGCTGAGCCTTGCCTTTTTTTTAGAAGTTCGTCCACCTGCGGCCCAATATCCTCTTCAAGATGTAGGGGTCGCTTGTTCGTGGGAACGACGCTTGGGTCTGAACAGCGAATGAGTTCGGCGCGCTGCATTGAACCACCAGCTGGTAGCCTGCCCGCCGGTACCTCTTTGTTATTGAGTGCACATGAGAACTCTTCCTTCAATTTTGCCCACTTCTGCCGTTCCTGGGACGTTAGCTGGATCAAATTCCTCAGGCTTGCGGCTTTCACCGGACCGTCACGATGGAGCGCATGCATATCTTCGTCGTTTCTTTCAGTGCCTCTGCACTGCACGGGAACCTCCGCGCTCAGCTTTCTTTCGGACGTCGTTCCCACACAGCTGAGCATAGAAGATGCAGATGCCGTTGGGAAGCTTACGGGTGCACGCTCTCATCACTTCCTGGCGAAAAGACCTCTACGGCGTTATCAGAGGAACGTATTTGCGCCTTCGGCTGGGTCAATTGTGGCATGCCTATGTCGCGGTGAGGAGGTTCACCGTAGAAGTCCCTACTCATATTAACGCTCCCGGTTTTGAAGCAAAGAGAGCAATTCACTCCCATAACTTTGCCGATTATTGTATCCTGCCTACCATCCGCGAAGTGTAGCGTCAGAGATTGTACAAATGAGTGGACTGGTAGGCTGCTTTGCTGAGGCTTCCGAGATCAGATTCACTTCGCATCCCGTATCGAGGAGGGCTACCAACTCCTATCATTTTATGCGTACTTGTACAAGCGTCGAATCGACTGGTGGTGGAGCTGCGGGTGCTGCCGTTATCTCGTGTGGCCCCATCACTGCGTTGCAACGTTGCATGGGGACCCACGTGTTTCCTTACTTTCGTTGTTTGCTCCCCTGGCATTTCTGGTCGACATTTGGCTTCGACTGTTCCCTAGCCCTTTTTATAAGTTTGCTGTCTATAAATCTGTGATCACGTTTATTGCAGAGGAGGCAAATGCGCCGTTCGGCGTCTCCATCTTGCTTTATGGGTGCTGCATTCATTGGCACCCGTCGGTTACCGCTTCTACACCCCCTCTGAGCTGGCCTGATATTCACAGCAAGAATATCTATAGGCTCCAAATGAGGATGATACGCAGCTATGCCTTCTTCCTTTTCGGATAAGGCTATGGAAGTGGCATTTTTTCCTTCCATTCTACGAACGTACTGCGTCATGTCAGCGAGATCCATTCTTTCACCCCTCATATCCCTGTCCGTAGCTCGGCTGGCTACTGATTGCCTCTCTCCGGGGGAAAGCCCCTCTATAAACAAATTTTAGAGCAGCTCCGGATCCATTGTAGGGCTTGGATTCATCAAGGACTGATATTTGTCAATATAACGCTCTATCGAGAGTTTTCTCTTGCTTAATTTTTCTCATTTCCGGCATGGCCTGCTGGAGACCTCGGGATAAACCAGCGACGCGGCGTATTCCGGAAGGCCTGCATAGATCTGATGTGCTCACTGGGATGCAGAGCCTTTGCTTGAATGTAGCCACCACCGCGGTGCATCCCCTTCTAATAAGGAGGAGGCCAAAAGTAATTGGGATGCATCTGGAGCGTTTTGCAGACGGATGTATACGTCTAGTGGACGAAGGAAGTCCCCTACGGCATCTGCGTCCAGCAGCCCATCATATCCCGTTGGACGGCACGGCAGGAGACATTCCTCCTGAATTGTGGGCGAGAATATATTTTCCCCCGGATTGGATGCCAAAATATAGCTGCGTTCTGCTTGATGAGGGCACACCGTTCGTCGACTCCACCTCTGTGAATGGGTCACAATCAATCTCCATTTTCCTGAAGGGCGACACCTGATATTGAAAGAGATTTCGCTGAAGAAAAGGAGATGGGCTTTATTTTATTTTTATTTTTTGTTTGTTGTTGTTTTTCTTTTTTTTTCTCAGCAATGCTTGATGCCAACCGTGTCACAATTGGACTCCCTGCTCGTACCTGCTCCGATAATCATGCGGCGCTACCAAGTATAGCGCTCGCTCTCTGGCCTTAATCCAGGATAGAAGATAGCTGCAGTGCAGGTAACTTAAAGCAAGAGTTTCCCAAAAGCAGCTGATCTCTTCACCTGTCCTCAGATCTCCTGGACGTGGAAATCAGGGCCTGGGTGTTACGCGGAGGAGGCAGCCTAAAATAGGGTTGCATCCCACCTCGCTGCGGCTGGTAATACAAGCCAACCTCACGCGTGCACAGAAGGAAGGGCTTCGGCGAAGATTCCTTTCTTGCATGATTTACTCTGAATACCCTAAAAAACATTTGCATTTGCTTACACGCAACCTACTAAGGTCAAGTGAAGGCTCCTCTGCTAACCATGAGGCACGGATGGGAATACGAGACTATTTTTCGGTACTTTGTGTTAGTGCGGGCATATTACATAGAGTAAAGAATTTAGTTGTAGAGTGTGCGGCTTGAAGGCAGGCGTATGAGATAATAATAGTAACCGCAGAGCGAGCTTGTAACGCTGGTTCTCCGGCCTTAACCTGACCGGAGACGAGCCGCAATGAAGGCAAAGACTTAAAGT